AAAAAAAAAAAAAAAAAGAACTGAATTACTTGTAATGTAACGTCTCCTCAAAGGGAATAATATCCGTCTATGAGCAAACTTATGGGGTATCGCAGGACTTGCAGGCTCAGAAATTCGTGGTACAGGACTATCTCGGGAAGATTTATGTTCATCAGATGCATCTTCAGGTGCACTCTCACATGCGCTATCAGTTCCAACAATACGACGATATGCTGAGGTTGATGGTGATTTACCAGACTAAATTATCATAGCTGTTTACAAAAGAATTTTAACAAAGCGAAAAATACATTACGTTGTTAATCATAAAACTTTCCTAACAAATTAATATATTTTTTAACTAATAACTTGAAACTAAAATGTAATAGCTTCATTTATATATTTACTACATATATTATAGATATAATTATGAACTGCTTACCAAACTGGTTGCTTTGATAGCAAGCATTTTAGAAGTTTTTGTGGAAGTGTGATCTATCGAACCGGTGGGTTTGTACGCGAGAGCAGGACTAACGTCTCGAGCTGCTAGCTGTTCCTTCAACTCTGACAGTTCACCTTCCATTACTGTTGTACGTCTGAATTCTTATGAAACATTTTGTTAATATCTCTTTTAATAATAAATTCTACTAATGCACTCTGCAATTTTTAAGTTTTCAAATGTTAGTCCTACTTAAAAACTACTTATCTGCATGTCCTCTACAGCAATTTTACGCTATGACTGTTTTCTTTCAAAAGTTTACAGAACATTTAAGTGAAAAGTTTACCGCTGTGCCATTTCATCCAGCTTTTTTTCCAGTTCTTCAATTCTTTCTTTTAGTTGACTTACAAGAGCACTATAATGGGCATCTTTTTGTCGCAACTGATCCACGTGAGCCTCTTCACGCTCTAGTAGTTCTTTTTCTCTGAAAAAATCAGACAGAAATTAACAAATCTCAAATTTATTACCTCCCGAAAATATATCTATATTTTTTAAACTCATAGCCATTTAATTACTTCATTGTGGTTTGGTCTATTCAATTTATCAAAAATGTCGCGCGTTTCGAAAGTTTTTCTTCTTAATAATGGCTATGAGAGTGTTTTATTTATTTTGGTCAGTAATTTAAAGATTAAATTAAATCGATTAAATCTGAATTTGAAATTAAATGGAGTTTTTTAAAGTAATCTAAAGATGGGATGTTATTGAAAATTTTATACAGTTAACATGAACAAGTTTGCTGTATTTTAATGCTTGAAATAATAATAGACGTGATAGACCAAACCTTTCTTGATAACTTCGTAACAACTGATTTGCTTGCTCATATTTACTCTCCAGCATGGCATAGTGTGCTCGTGAGCTTTCCAAAATTTCCTTCATCTGATCAGTCTTTTTTTGTGATTCGCTTAGTTCCATTTCAAGATCAGCTATACGTTTCTGTAACATTACATAAAATAATATTTCTTTAAACTATGGTAAGTAGATATCTTCAACAAAAGAAGACATATAAGTCACAGCAAACAGAAAAAAAAAAGATCAAAATTGATCATTACCCTGATTTTTCGCTCTTCCAAAATCGCCGGTTCATCACTATCATCGCTATCGGCTTCATCATCACCCAACTCTTCCCCTTCTCGCAAACGATCAGCTTCAAGTGACTGCCTGATAAGTTGGGCAACTTCACTCTCTTCTAAGTCTTCTTCCCGACCTATTGTAAAAATCACCTGCAAACATATTTCTATTGTTCTACAAAGATTTATCGATTTACTTCAGCAATTTTTCCGAATCCAACTAAAAAATTATACTTTTCTGAAAGGAACTCTTCAGTACAATACAAATTACTAACCTTTCGCCCTGTAGCTCGAAGTGTTTCAGCAGCAAAAATCTGACTTACGCCTACTAAACTGACGCCATCAACGCTTACGATTTGATCACAAACACGAATTTGACCATTGCGATGAACAGCTCCACCAGGAGTGATACTCTTCACAAATATACCTAATTTTTCCAAACCAGAATCAGCACCCACTCCCATACCGATGATAGAAACCTAAACAATACTGTTTACACGAATCTCTTATCTTATACAGTGAGTAATTAGTTGACTGTGAAGCACAAAACATATAACATTATATCAGTGAACTAGAAAAATCTAAAAGTCATACATGGAGCTTATTATACAGCAACAAGTGAAATCAAAAAAACTTAGAACAAACTTGACACGAAAGAGCAACAAAAAAAAATGTAAAACTAATAATAAATAAAACGTGCTCCAAGTCCCTCGGCTCCCTTTTCCAAATGTACATCAAATATTTGCATCTTATCTAGACGTCGTTCCAGTTCGTACTCAGCACAAGATGCCACCGGATCAATCTCGTCGTTTCGACGGTCATAATCCACGATACTATGAGTTGAAAAAACCTGAAGCTGATAAGTTGACATAAAAAGTCTTCTGAAACAATTTTTTCATTAATTATAAGACTGATTATTAGTTACTTTAATCGGTGCGGTACTAAATGACACTTTTCGTCCGACAACATCGACTTCAGGAGATAATCCTCGAATCACTTCTGCAACACCCGAAAAATCCTCATTGAAGTCATTCTTCGAGCTCATCGAGCAATCCTCCAGAGGCACATTGAGCTCACAACTTCCTGCGACGTTATCTTGGATTTGAACAACATCCTCACTTTCTGATTTACGACTTTTTACCAGTGCGTACGTTGTATGCTTCATTATTTGTTCCTTTAATCAAAATAATCCAATTCCAATTATTACTACTGAACAGATTTTAAAATGTTAAGCTTGAGAAAAAATTTTCATATAACGAAATAAAAAATTAGTATTTTCAATCTCATACATTTGCAATGTGCAAAAGCTCTGAGTCGAAAATGGCTTCACAAAATAATAATATCCATAATAACTAATCTTATATAAATGCCAAATGTCTTATTTGCTATGCAAATCAATAAGTATTAACTATTCAATATGTTTACACTCATCAAAAAATCCTGCAGACAAATTACTTCGGCACTGAATTCATCTTAATACCTTATCACTTTCGTCATGTAAGGCTGTGCCAATACCTTCTTGATTTTCACCGTCAGTTGATTCACTGGTAGAAATATTTTCTAAGCCACCGTATCGTCGTTTATAGAATAATGGATCACGCCAGTACGGTTCATAACCAATCTTTTTGGTGGATAATGAATCCAATTTTGACATTGAGCAACTACAAGAATAAATAGGTCATCCAGTGAAAGATAAATCTGATCATAACTAGATACATATATGAACCAAAGCTAACATAAATAAAACAAAATAATATGAATACTTGATGGGGTCAGTGCTGTCGACCACTGAAGTTTGTTCAGAATGTGTTTTTGACAGTCGATCCAAGTCAGATACTAATTCCGAAAAATTGCGTGCCACCTCAAATTTATTGGTAAAGAATGAAAACTAATTTTTACAGTGATTTTTGTTAAATAAAAATTCATAACTCCAACTTCAGCATAATTTAGGGTCAAAGTTGAGATGGCATAGAACATTCTTGAATAAAAAGTGGAAAAATGGAGTAAATTTGAACCTTAGTTACTTATTTTAGAATAAACAACTGAAATTATGATCAATAAACTGTTATTACAATAGACAATCCATCAGAGAAGAGCATCGATTGTCTGATTATAGGAAAATGAGTGTAAAGAGATCGCTGATGAGTGAATATCAGATAGAAGGAATTCAAATATATCCAAGAATACTGATAAAGTGTTATTGTGCAGAGATTTTTGAAAACACGATACTGACAGCAAAATAAATGAAAGCAAATAGAAATTAGTTGTAACTTCGCTTCGGTTTATAATAATCAGAACACAAATAATTTAAATTTAAGTTGCGATTATCAATCAATGTGATATAAGAACTAAAATTTGCCAGTTTGTACGACAGCATGAACAGAATCAAATTAGCAGAACTTGTGAGTTGTTTCCAACAGCAAGAACCTGATCTGAGTTCAAATAACAGAAGTGTAAATAGTTCAAATTTCAAGTTGAATAAACTTAGCTAAATTTGAAGTAAAATGGAGCAAATAACGAGGAGAAAAGAAGCCAAAATGTGAGTGAGCAGAAAAGTTGGCGGCGAAAATTGGAAGAGTTAGAAGTGAAGTTAGCCGTCTGCTCACCAACGAGCACACATAAGTATGAAAGGAGACAACTCCTGCTGGAATGGCAAAGAACTGCTTGGCAAAACTGCCTCAACCCACAATGATAACAACAATAGTAGTGACGATGAGGAAATGATTATGATAATGATAATAGCAGTGATAGTGATGACTGATAGCTGCTACTACCACTATGACAGATAAACAACACGCAACTTATCCAATGTCATGCCTTTAAAGGGCTGGCTCGCTTTTCTCATATTTCTCACAAACTTCGCATTATAGAAATGAATGACTGATTTAATGATTCTTTACTATTCATTCAACTAATGTCCACGGCTTCTAAAGGGATCAAAACTCAACGCTGTTTGTATAAGTTAAAGGATTCAGGTCATAGTTTAATTATCAATCTAATTCGGAATAAAAGTTCAATAATTACTTATGTGATCAACGTCAAAAAGTGAATGACGTACTAGCAATCGAATTGAATTGAAAATAATCACAGCTGCTTAAATGAAGTTATTTTCAGTTTACTTTCAGCAAGTACTTTTGAGCTAAAATTAAGCATTATGAAACAAAATGAAATAAATTGCCAAAAACTTGACTGGATTTCAGTCAAAGTTACAATAAGTACTTGTTGAGTTTGAGAAAAAAGTGAGTGAAGTGAATAATAATAGTAAAGTAAACAGAAGTGAAATGAAAGCAACAAGAATGAAGGTAAAAGTAAACGCTTTCTGCAACCATACCATATCCCATAGTTTAGAGGAATGAAAAAAGAGATAATATAAGATGGAGGAGCGGAACTTAGATGCAACCAACCATTATTTTATTGTAATAAAAGATAGCATCATTTAAAAAGGGTAATCAAACTGAGATAATTAGTTCAATTGTTGGAAGAAAATAAAATTTGCTGCGGACAGAACAGAAATAGAGTAGCAGAAGAGAATATAAGTATAAATCAGTGTTACAAATGAATATTCATTTATCAGAGGGAATAATGAAAGAATAAAGAATTGTTGTGAAAAATTTAGGGCCGAATATGAATATAATCAGCTCATTCTTTCCCTCTTATCAAAGTTTACTACCAGAAAAAGATTCAGTAAGTTGCAATAAATCACTCCTCGATGCATTATTAAGCAACAATTTTTATTTCTTAAAAACCTTCTATGTCATTATATTCAGAGCACTGCAAAACGAGCAAATCTATTTTCATCTCCTACCTCTCATCTCTAGTTAGAATATTAATGCATTCGTGAAAAACACTGTGACAATGATTGCAACAGTATAAATGAGTAGTTATATCCGTTTATACAACTTCAAATATGAGAATATTTCGATGAAAATAATTAGTGAACTTGCATAATCCTAAAACTTCCAAGACGTACTGATTAATATCATGTAAAGTTTGCTTGATACAAATTATGACTAGAAATGATCAACTCTATTAACAAGATCACTTAACCATAAGTGGTATTGTTTTATTTCTAATGTGCACCAATATAATTAATCTACTATAATTACATATAGGTGCACACATTAGAATGAATTCATGTAGCGTAAATTAACTCATCTATAAGTTAAAATGGATAAGTAAATAAATAATTGATTAAATTAGTAAATGCATAAGTAATCCACCTGTGATAATGGTGAAGTGGGAAACTGCATGCCGGGTTTTGGTGGCAATGGTGGAGGCTGTGGTCGGGAGCTTCGAGGAGATAAATAATACTGCGATTGCTCGCCTCGCTCTAACTGCTCAAATAAAGCTTTGGTATGTGTGAACCTCGACCTTGCATCTTCGCACATATCTAACTCAGCTGGCAATACTGACATTTTTCAGAACTTGTCTAATTTTAAGTTTTATCACTTAGTTAGATTGAATATTCAATAAAAAAGTATTTCTGCTGGAATATGCCAATTCAGTGACCAGTTTTGAGTGAATGTTTATGATTTGATGCGGGTATTATTAGGGAAGAAGTGATTACAATTATTATGCAGTTATAGTTATGGTAGTAGCAGTAGTAACAATGACAACACTAACGGTACTAGCACTGAATAATAGTGAAAATATATGCAATGGTAGAAAATGAAATATGTGATTTATTTGATGAGTATAGTACAGCTGCCGGTAAGATTTATCAACAAGTAAGTAGAAAATGCAAGGAGATTATTTGAAGACGAAGGAGTTCCTACTTCGAAAATTGACCGTCCGTGAAGGACATTAACACCATCAGTAATTGCAGCAGAAAAGTTGTAGCAGTAGCGGTAGTAATATTTCGAACAGTACCGGTATTGAAAGTGAGAAATACCGACAAATGAGGATGTATCAATATATCAACAGGAATTACGTTAGGTGAGTAACTCGACGACCAAACTTCTTGTATGACGTGCTAGCCAATTCTCCTTTCATAAATAATTGGAAGATAAAAGATAGCAATTTACTCTCATTTTATTATCATATCAATATTCATTTCTATATTATAATGACAGTATTATTATTGCTATCACCATCATATATTCATTAATCACAGAAATGCAATTGACAAATTTATAAGTATAATGGCAGAATTAATGAAGAGATTAATTACTGCTTGTCGACATGCAACTATTTCTTAGAATACTTTCTTTATGTTTTATTTTTTCTTTTCGTCAAGAAAATGGAATCAGTAATTGATGACTGATTTTAATGAGAATATTTTCCAATTTTTCGTTCGATAGATGGTACTTTAACAACAAATGTCAAGGTAAAATTGCAGGAAATTAGGTAAATCAACAAATATTTCAGGAATTAATGTGATGACTGAAATTCACAGCAGTTATCATTTATCAGAAGAGAGGAAAGAAGAAGTAAAAGAAGAATATGGCTGGTAGTAAGAAATGGTTCGCTTTGGTTTTCTTTGGATAATTCGAATTTATTGTCGTAAATATGAAACTTCAACCACTCGTTTCTGGTGTCTTCATGCGGCATCTAAAAAGTTTAACATTTGCTTTGGTGTATTTTGGACAAGTAATTAACAACAATAAAAATATTCGCTAAAAATAGCTGCAGAAAACACATCATGGCTTACTTTTTTACTTCTGTTTCTCGCCCTCACTGATAAATTAATCATCTATTACTTTCGTAGCAAAGTGAATTAATATTCTCGCGATAATTAAATATGATAATCTAAGAGTATGGAAAAAAAAACGATTGATTGCACTGCTTTGCTACAAAAATTTTTACAGAAAAAATTTACACAAAAATAAATGACGAAGAGTGAGTGCTTAAAAGTATTGCAGTTTTCTACAACAATAATAAAAAAATTGACAGTATTGCTAAATTGACTCTCCGATGTCAACAAAAGTTGAATGTTTTATGTTAACACACTGAAAGCAACTATCCTTCATCGGTACTCTGAAGTGCATCATTACTCTTTCCCATGTAATAGTAAAACATTCTTATTGCATGTACTACAAAGTAAATACTCATTTCTGGACTGAATTTTCAACAGAATATCTCCTCTTCATATAATACCTCCTCTTCATATTATGCAAAGTTCCGCTTGCAATTTGCAGACAAATAGGACAGCATTAATGGATTTGATAATCTGTGCCTCAAGCATTAAAACGGGAAAAGCATTGTTTTCTTTTACACTTTGAATTAATAATAACCACTAAAATTGATCAAGACAAATGTTCCACATATGAGCTAATTTAAAGCAGATAATATGTATATTTTCAAAAAATAAGTTTAAGGTAGGAACGCTATCAGATAATTATGCAAATTTTATCGCGGATGTATGCAGATTGTAATACTTATTGTAAGATACTAAAATCGGAGGTATATAAAGCTTATTAAACAATAACACGAGATATCTTTCAATCCGAAATAAAAGCGTGTGATAGGAGAGCAGATCTTTGTGTTTAATTAGCTTTAAAATGATCATAGTGTAATTACACTATTAAATGAAATTAGTCGTTGTGCATGTGCGGGAAAAAGTTTATTCGAAAGAAAGTTTAGTTTGCATTCCAACTCAATGAATGCAATTCAAATGATAAAAATTAATCAAAACGAACAAGCAAGGAATCAGATACGCACAAAATGGTAGCGATCAAGCACTTTTGTTTATCAATTAAATGAAATGATCAGTGAAATAAAGCAAGTTAGCAATAAATTTGCGAAAATTAAACCATTTCTCAGTCAAACAAGTGAATAAAAAGAAAGACAAAAGGTCACAAATACCGAACGAAAGTAATGAGCTGCTGGAAATATAATATGACCTCAAATTGAATCACGAATTGAGGACAAAAGTTCAAAAATGAAAAAATTTAGTCACATAAAAATGAATTGCATACTTTCATTCACTACTGTAGTTGATACAAAAAATATTTTCTTTAAAAGTATCAGCCATTATAATTTGCACGCTTCTAAAGTAATACAGGATGGAATGACCTGCGACATGTAACTCATAACTGATAAGTCAGAAAAAAGAAGATCAAAAAATATTACACATAAGTGTCAACTAATAAAGAATAATATGAAAATTGAAAGTGCTCTGTTTCTTCTAGGTTGGCTTTCAAAATATTCATACTTTATTTGATAAAGTCAAAAATTATTTCTGCATAATGAGAAAGTCAACTAAAATATATATATTTTATAAAATGAAATTGATTAAATTTTAATTACACTAAGAATTCTTGGGAAATCTGCCTCAAGAAATTGCTATCATATGTTTTATCAATTACATATATACTCGTGAATATTACTGCATAAGTTTCGTGTATAACTAGATTAGCCATACTTGACTAATGACAGAATTACAATACCAAAAATTACAGAAAGTTTCTCAAACTGTATTTAATTTCAATTTTTGGGTCAAAATATATAATTTAGTGTGAAAGAACTTTCTACGTGTACATCAATGACCTCTTTAAGTGATACTTGGTCCTTTCATAGAATGCAATGCAAACTTTTCTGTAACTATAAAGAAAATTTAGATCAAAAATATAAAGTCAGTGGAGCAGCTACGATTCGAGAAATCACACATATTTTCGAGAACCATCGAGTAAATTTCTGCATTTTGAAAGTGGAATTTAGCAAAAGTATCCTCGGCATCAGTGCAAGTTATCAGAGAAATTTACGAAATGTCCATGCAAATACGAACGAACTATTTATTTATTATCAATGAATTAAATAAAGCTATTGACAACAGTATGGCAAATTAGTAACAAATATATCCAATTTATTCATGAGGTTTCTAACAATTTTAGATGGAAATTGTGATAGATGCAAGCAAGTAACAGTAAATTTGTCAAGAAATATTGTTGAAAATACTGAAGACAGTTCGCATAACAGAAACGGTGTGTAGAATTTTTGTTTCATCCTAAAGAAGTGCATCTGAAGTGCAGTACTCATTTGGAATGAAATGAAGAAACATATCGAGAATCAATTCTTTTAAAAGTTGCTTCGAAAGAATATCAAGAAAATTTTGATCTGAACGGGTAACTGCGGGATAAGCAATTATCTTTCATTTATAGCATGTTTTTTAAGGCTTTTAATCTTAAAACAGATATATACATGTTTTGAAAGGAACAAAACAAAGCAGTCTTTTGCAGAATAAACGTGCTGCAATTCTCTCCAGAGGAATTCCAAGAGAGTTGTGACTTTTCAGATAGTAAGTAATAGCTGTGGTTGATCTTTTGAAAATTCCCGGAAGATCTACTGAGGGTGATTTGAGTTAGTCAATGTATAAAATTAAGAATTTGCAAAAATGACTGCTGAATATTGGAGAATGAGCTCAAATTTACCAATATGCATGTACCAAATAATTTGTGTATGGAAGTGGAAGAGAAAAGTTGGATGTTATGTACAGGGGAAAAGATTATAAATGAGGAAATCCAGAGAAAGGGCAGGGGTCACTGGTAAGTACATCTCGAGAAAGGCAAAGGGCCATTAATGAAAACATCTCTGAAGAGGCCAAGAATCAGGCAATAGCAGCTTGGCCAAAAATGCCAACAAATAAGTGAGTATCCAGCAGTACTGATGGCTAGTTGCTAGTCTGCCTGCTCACACATCGATTTTAGGAGAATAATAAAATAAATATCTTACTTGCTCTGCGCATATTCAACATTCGCAATTTCCATTTTACGCGAAGAGCTGGGCCATTTGTCTAAACAGTCAAGCAGGCAACTGCTCACTCACTTACTGGCCTAGACAGGGAAGGAGCTTTAACCCAATCTCCGAACAAATCTTAATTAGAATAATTAGTCTCCTTCAAGATTCTATCAGCCTGAATCTTTAATTTACTGCTTTATAAGCAAAACATTTTATTCTTGTGTCATTGTGCGCTCGAACTGAATTGCTGCCATTACTTTTATAAATATTATTGGAATAACTTTTATATGCTAAACGCACGATTGTAACAATATTTATTTATGTCATACATTACCACGTTATCTTTTCATTTTTGCGTACAGAATCATACTTGTTTAAACGTCTTCGTTTCTGTTTCTTATAGTTATCATTTGCAAAACGCTATCTATCATCATTTTAGAGTGCAACAAATAACTTGAAAGGTAACAAATTAAATTTCATTAAATTGATGTTAATTAGATAAGATATCAGTGAACAGTTTGCTTGACCTTTTTTGACTTAGCATAGCAAAGTTTTCTCCCTCCAACTACACGTAACAGTGTAATGATGGCAATCACAATATCAAATACCATTCATTACGAACATATCTTGCCATTCCATACAAAGTTCTAGGATTTTGCTCAGCGAAAGGTTTTGCTGAGCGTACACTTCGCAATCAACACAAAACGAAAACACCTCTTCATGGAATAAAACAAAGCAGACGTTGACTGACACGGATGTGCACGCTAAAATATTCACTCCAAAATTAGAGCTAGAAACCATCTTTTGCACTGAATTTTTCGAAAACTGACAAAATGAAATCAAATCAAAACAATAATTTCTTTACTTTGACATTACTCGAGCACTGATAAAAGTAAAAGTTTGTGTACAATCTCTACGTCACAAGAACTAAGCAAAATGAAAAAAGCGCACCACTGCTTGACGATATTAGACCAGAAACATAATTAACCAGTTAATCAATCAATCAATTAGGCAATCAGCAACTGAGTGATTTTCAGAGAAATGGAAAACTTCTGTACTGATATTTATTTTATTTTTCAGAAGTAAATTTTGAAAAGGCAATTGAAAGACAAGTTTAATTTTAATAAACAAAAAGAAGGATTTTTGCAAAAACTTTCAAATGATTTTTTTTTGCATAAAATTGAAACTTCTGAAATGACAGATAGAATTATTTAGGAGATAAGATCAAACCAGTAAGTACGCAACCACCATACTTTGAAAGCTCTCAAATGGAGTAAGAATAATTCAAAGCGAAGAAAGGGTAGCACAGTCCGAACTTAAAAACCAACGACAGATCACTTCTAATGACCCAATAACTAACTCTCGGCATTTTCCATTAACTTCACCGATTTTCTAATTAATTTTCATTAGTAAACTAATTTTTTGACCAATTTCTGGCATTTTTTTTCTGAATTTGATTTTATTATCAGGTTAATTAACTAAATGAACTATTTACTTTCTTATGCACCATTTTTTAAATCAAAAATTGACCAATCATCAAGTTTCAGCATTATAATGCAGTTAAATAACTTTAATCCCGTTTTCATCTCCATTTCACTAACCAAATACCGCTCTAGGAGGGTTTTTATGGATGTTATTCAAGCTTATATTCTTTTTTTATGCTTGCCTTCTACTCCGATGGCTTCTTCTCCAGCCTCGTTATCTCTTCATGATTCTGCTGTGCCACCAGGAGCTGCCTTGCAATATCAATACCCTCGTTACAGATTACGAAGTAAAGGATCTAATTTCAGTTGAGTAAACAGGTGACTATCTTTCCGCATTTGGCTTCGGATGGGAAAATATTCTGTACTTCCGAACTAATACAATTACACACAATTATTATTTGCTATATACTGCTAACTTTACTTGCAAAACAACTTCTAATTCTTCAAAATTAATGCGACTAAATACTGCACAACTAAATTATCAACTCAAACCTTGCAGTTAAGTTATTATTAATTATGCAAAAAGCATTTTGTCAGAATGAAGTATTATTTTTAGAAAGAATGATTGATTTGCTTGAAGAAAAGTGACTAAAACACGTGTTTTTATCTTGCAGTTAAAGTAAACTGAGAAAATTCTGATAATATGAAACTGAACAAGCACATACAGCAAAGGTTAAGCAGAGAAAATCTCTCTGGCAACAAATAACAACAATAAATTATGGTAAATTTGCTTTTGTGTAAAAAAAGTTCATAGATGTGATTATCTTCTAAATTCATTTTCAGAGTCCCGACTTTAATTAATAAACATTTATTTTTAGTCAAACTAATCACTGGTAATAATATACTTCAGACAAAAGCATTCTAACAACTAACACCTATGATTCGAACAAGACTGAATTTGCAAGGCGCTTAGGTTGGTGATAATATTTTAGAAAATATATCCACTAAATTTAAGAATTAATGTTTAATTTCCAATGGAAAATTACACTGACTGACTTGCGATATCATCCAGAAGTAATTTTATAGCCTTTTTATTCTTTGAATGAAGTCAATTTTCCATTTTTTGATAAATCTCTCCAAAATTACAGATAAGTTGATTCTCTCTGTGATCAATACAAACGTGTACTTTATTCACATTTACTACAATCAAAGTTGTAACTTGATGTCTGACTCTGAAAACTTATAGACTTTAAGCCGACTTCAAAATTCTGATTACTAGAGATTTTTCGTTATTCCCTACCAAGGTAATTTCAGTTAACAATTAGAAATTAACCTTTGCTTTTTGAATGAAATGGTTTAACTTTTGAAAATCTAGCCAAGTAATCAAAAACAGTTACTGTTTTGAGATTAAAAAATTGACGATCAAGTCCAAATTACCGCATAGCATAAAAGATTTACATAATTACTTGAGGATTGAAAATATTATCAAACAACTTAAATAAAAAAGTAACAACTGGCTCAACAAGTAAAAACATAATGGTGCGCAAAAGATTAGGTAATCACTGGTTCAGCTGATAAAAATGACAAAGATCGATGCGAGCAATGAACATGCAGGTCAGATCATTGTTGAGAGCCTCAAATCGCCCAGGCCATCCAAATTCGCATTAAGCAAAGAAGTAATAACTCGAGCAAAAATTTTTTTATCGAAAAAAAATCCATAACACTGGTTATTAAGTGGAACTACATCAGAATATTTTACATCATAATTCAAATATCCTTTAGACAGACTTGCGATATCATCCAGAAGTAATTTTATAGTCTTCTTATTCTTTGAATGAAGTCAATTTTCACATTTTTTGATATATTCCTCCAAAATTACAGATGAGTTGAGCAGAATTCACTGAGAATTCTCTTTAAAATATTCGAGAGTAAATAATCATCTAAGTACAAACATTAAATGATGCAAAAGATTCTCAGTGAATCTTACAGTTATAGTCAATTCTCACTTTCATTAAGCCATTAAGCCAAAGTTATCGATCTTTGCTTGAATTGTTACATTATTTCTTAACACAATACTTTGCAGCAAAACTGAAAACTTGATGAAAGATATTGCTTAATAAGCTAAGAGATTAAAGGCTGATCCAGCAAACCCTCAAATTTCCTTTCACACAATTCCGTTTCCATAAATGAATACAAAAACTTGAATGAACAAACAGTGAAATATCTCTAAGGGTCAAACGTCAATTGTCACTTTCTCCGAGCACAATGATAGATATTCGGGAGGACAGCAATGACTGGAAGATTGAAATCAAGAGACAATAAGTAGTTTATATACATACGAAACTAATTTGAGCAAAGGATGATTCGTTAATAGAAAGACTTTTGGTACCAAAAGGTCACGTCAAGAAAATTTTGTCATCTGAACTTTGAGCCCTAAATAAGACACTGAAAGTTGATTGTTGATTGTAAAATAAATAGCAGAATGGGTCACGACCATGATGTAATGAAAAATACTAATATCAATCGTGGAGTAATCAATAAACTGGTGTGAACTCCGACTCCGAAATAAAGCACAATGTTTGGGGAACTTCCGGCTGACCACTCGAAGTAGTGCAGTGCGCGAGAATGAGTAGCAGAATTGTGAGTGTCGCGCTGCAGATTGCAAGTTGGCACGATGCCATAAGTTGCGCTTTCATCTCAGATATTACATTGTTTAAGTTTTGATGGAGAATTTGTTGTTTTGCTGCTCTCTGTTTAAGCTGTTTGCAGCTTGCAAATTGTTGGCAGTACTATTGATTATCAGCAGCAGTCTGAGAAACTATGGTTGCTGCTGTGATTATATTTGAGGCCCTAAAACTCACCCTTATGCTTCAGGCCTCTTTTATAGAGAGTTGCTAGGCCTGAGTATATTCAGGCTGTCCATCGCTCCTTCTAGCAACTGATATTCACTTTTTTGCCTCCATACTTGACCCTTCCCAAGTTATCAGTTGTATTACCTGTGTTTCTCTTCTTTCATGCCCTAATACTTTTGATTGGCACAAGTTCTTTTCTCGTCCAAAATTTTTTGTCAAGGAAAGTAATAAATACGAAGGAGCGAATAAGTAGAGTAAATAGGTTGTCTCTCAACTTTTTATTACTGTTTTAGATCGCATACATAGCGGCAATTTTGTGCAAATAATATAACGACGTGCTAGTAAATACTCTGCGATGTATAGAGGCTAAGTAAATAATCCCCAGAGAAAAATTTCCACGTCAAGCTGTTATTGTTTGTGATAAGCATTTGCTAAATAAATAATGCGATAGCTTTTGAGCGTGCGAAAGTGATTCTTAGAGTAAATAGTAACGCAATTTTTCTTTCGTTATTGCAAGCAATTGCGATAGTTTCAAAATAATAATATAAGCAGGCTCACTTTTTTCACAATAATTTTGCAGTACACATAATGCTTTAATCTTCAGTTCTGCTCTCTTCTTATTCTCTATCTTTATCACTATAGATTTGACTTCACCCTTTTTCTCACTCCACGAAGTATCTTTTTTTTCAATATTTGCGGTAAATTTGTGGGAGTACAGAGACTTTTCAGACTTCCGTGAATTAGCGCAACGATAATAATTGGTAGCGACGAAGAAATGAGCAGTCGTAGCAAGTAAGTGATTTTCCCGAGATTAAAACTTACTTGCCCCTTACATTTATTTATTCTCTTTAATTCATCATTATAGTCAGTAAATAGTTGCGAGATTATTTTTATGGCGAGGTGATGTTAAAAAATAGATGGGGTCAAATGTCACTGATCTAATCATTTTAGAGATTAGCAATAAATTTTTCAAGAGTGAATGGTAATGTAGTAATGGATGAGTTCTCAATTATAAGTAGATAGTTAGCAGTCTTCCTGTCTGGAATATAGTTGAAAGTATTTAGGCTTATTCATTCTGATCACAAGTACTTTTCTGGATCCACCACTTTAATGTAAGATCTAGTAAGCTAATAATGTTTCTGGAAACTAGAATGGTTTTTATGCTAGGCATAATTGAAATGATTGCTGGTGGGGTTTTTACGAAGCATTTGTTTGGTATCCTTTGCTCTGTTTCTTTTCTTCAAAAATTAAATTTTTCCACCCTTTTCACTAATGCTGTCCTTCATTTGATGATTGTATCTTTCTTCAGAGTTCTTTGTCTTCGATTGTTTTAGCTAGCGACAATATTTTTCCTGTTTAGATGTAGTGCTGTCCTCTCTTACTTCTGCTTCTTACAGTTACTATTCGGAAGAGACTCGTATTATTGCGTCATCAGCTCGAACTAAAGTTGGTACTGGTGCATCAAAAATCTATAGCAAAGAATTACGGGACTTAGATGATGCTGATTTAGAGGGTTTGTTATCCAAGTTGTCGCCTGAAGAACTTGAAGATCTCAACAATGACTTTGATCCTGATGTAAGTTATTGATTAATTTATTCCTCATCATATAAATTGGAATTGTTATTTGTAATTTGATCTCAGTATTGCTCATGCGTACATATGTAATTATATTTTGATTTCAAAACTCCAAAACAGTGTTAATGTATATATTTATTTGACATCATTTTCAGAACTCTTTACTGCCACCATCACAACGATGTCGAAATCAAACGAACAAGCAGCCAACTGGACCTTACCAGCGGGATAAGTTGTTATTATTTTTGGAGGAAACAGCAAAACAAGAGAAAGATTGGGAAGAATGGGTACCCTTTAGTCCTGGAATTAAACGTGGTTTGTTTGAACCAACAGCTATTTTTAGCTTATTTATTTTGATGACATTTAAAATTTCTTTCAAGCAAGTCTAGAATTTAAAAAAATATAAATAAATCGCCATTTTATTTTTCAATATCTACAACTTAAGACTTTAATAGACTGATTTGTAGGAATTTCATTTCTCCTGGTATTTTAAAATTGGATTAAAAATACTCACACATACGTAAACTCATGAAACGCACACGTAAATGATGATATCGTTTTCAGCTTCTTTAAGAAAAAACTTATTTATAAATTTTGTTCTAAGCACTACATAATAGTAGTTATTTTCTGGTGCACGAATAACACGTTATTGGATATTTCATTCATTTAATTGTTCTTAGAAGTCAAAAGTTATTTTATATTTTCCTTTAGTGCTCTTTGATTGCTTTCAAGGAATGTTTATCCATTTATAAGAATTAATTGCGAATCCATTTTAGGGAAGATCTTCGAACCAAAAGGAGATGCCGATAAAAATAAACTTGGAGAGATGGAAATGCCAATTGAATTGGACTTAGACGATGATGAAGATGATTTAAATGATGCATTGAATGCTGCTCATGAAAAAGATCTTGTCGATTTAGCTGGTATTCTTGGAATGCATAGCTTGCTTAATCAACCTCAGTACTATAATGCTTTAAAAGTATTCATTATCATTGTTAATAATTTTTTCAAGCAACATATCTATGCTACATGTGGAAAATTTTTCCAGTATGTGTCTATGTCTGTCTGTGTATGAATTTAATATAAATCGAAAATATTGATTAACTTCTGACTAAGTTTTTTTAAAACCTTAAGTTTCGCATGGTTTTTATTTCAGTTAAAGAGTGAAAATGATTTTCGTGCACTTCTTTTGACTTTGAAAGCTGGAAATCGATAAATTAACTTTTTTCATATCGTTAATGGGAAACTTTTTGAACTTAAATCTGTGTATTATGTCTTGGTTCAAAAAACTATCCATGTGAAAAGCACTCATCAGGATATCGGCTCGTGCTAAGTATCTTAAATTTTCGTATCGAAGAGTCCTGAAGTTGATATAGTTTCTTGTTTAAAAAATTGTTATTTTTTGTCTAAAAGTATCTACACATATTGTTAAATTATATACTTTTATTGAACTTATCGTTAATTTATTGTTACATCTCCATATTTGATTTAAGGGTAAAAGTCAGGATGAAGCTACTGGAACTACTTTTCGAGGTGTTGTTAGAGCTTTTGAAGCCAAGATTCTCCCTGAGGAGCCGGAAAATGAAACAGATGTTGATGATTGCATCAAGTAAATATTTTAAGTTTTTGGAGTGTTTAAAATACTTTAAACTATACTTTTTGTTGTCATAAGAGTTTATTTAATACCTACTCATTCTAATGTTAAACAGAGTACAGGAAACTTGAAGAAAACGATGATAAAATGATAGAAGTAAATATCAATAATATGAAGCGAACATCGAAAGAACGTATCAAAGCTCTCATCAAAGCATCATGCGGTAGTAAGTATATTCAGAAGCTATCCATGGCAAATACTGCGATTTCTGATCAAGAGGCCAGAGTAAGTACGAATTTTGATTTTATGTAGATATTTCTCTTTGCTTTCAACCAAATCTTTAAGCTTTGTGTTGCAAACAGATAAACACAATTTTGAAAATACATATATTTTTCCAAATCATTTCACTAGAACGTTGAAGCTCAGCACAATGTTCCATTGCTCTTGAATTGTCGTAATAAAGTGATTAGCGTACTTCTTTTTAGAAGCAAGTGATGTGCACAAAAAAGTTTCAATATTTGTATTATTATTCTTGCTGAAAAATGTGACTTTCAAAATCATCACTAATTAATATATTTTGAGTAATAATTTTCCGTGGATTGTTTTTTGTCAAAAAAATAAGAAGTACTTTTTTTAGAATTATCTTCAGGGATTGGTTGATTTGCTAGAAACTTCACCTTCTTTGCGCATTTTGAACATTGAATCCAATTTTATTACCCCCGAACTATTAGCTAGATTACTGCGTGCTACACTTGTCACTCAAAATTTAATCGAATTTCACGCAGAAAATCAGGTTTCTTTCATCTCAGGGACTATTTCCTTGTTTTGTAAGAATCAGATTAAGTTATTTGATCCAATTTAGTCAAGTAAAATTGCCAGGAAGATTTCTTTCAAACACTGTTGAGCCACGATTTGTATGTGAAATGTATTTTGCTTCATATCATTATTATACCGTAATTGAAATTATTTTTGTCCATATCTTACATGTAGGAAAAATTATTCTAAAAGAAAGTTATTTGTCAATTAAAGTATATCTTTGGTACTAATATACTGGTTTTGTTTCAAATTTTCAGCGGGCAAGTGTATTAGGAAATCAGGTAGAAATGGACATGATGCTAACAGTTGAAGAAAATGAATCCCTCTTGCGTGTTGGAATATCTTTTCAATCAATGGAAGCAAGACACCGAGTTTCAGAAGCCTTAGAACGAAATTACGAAAGACGTTAGTTGTTTTTGTATATCAATAATTTCGCTCATGCAAAGTCCATGCTTTTGTCGCACTTTTTGAAATCTGGATATTTGAGTTCTGTTACCAAGCACTTGATTATTTGTTTTTAGTTCGACTTCGGCGACTCGGCAAAGAACCGCAAGACTGATTGAAAAAGTATTTACTCCATAATTGTAGCTCTTCACGTAAATTTTTTTTAAATCGCTTTTTGTCACGATTTTGTATGAGAAAGCTTTAGGGTATTGAACTATTTGTGCTCTTTTCATACATAGTTTTTGTTTTATGATGCATTTGTGTATTTCCACTGTTAATTTATTCAAGAACAAAATACTAGATCGTTTCAGTGTGTATTACAGAAATATTAGTATTTTTCAGACAACAAAATTGCGTCTCATTTTCTACGGTTTTATAAAGGTGGTAAGTATGAAAGCTTTGTTTGTATTTAGTGATCAGGAAATTTCAGAAATCTTGGTGATTCACTGTTTTTCATTTATTCAACAGCTGTAGCTCTTATGTATTGGTGATAAAATTTGTTTGAAAATTTTGACTTGCCTTATTGTTAGGTTTGTGAAGAATAGTGAGTTGTTCCCTGACGAAATTTTTTTGTATTTTTGAATTTCTCCAAGTCTTTGAAGCTTGTAGTATTTTTAATGTTAATAATTTCTGAAGACCACTTTATATTAGAATGTTTCTAGAATATTCGTAGTTTCAGCCTTCCTGCTCGTTCATTTCTATTTTTCTTGTCTGCTCTTTTCTTGCTAGTCGCCACGGCATTTTTGAATTAAATGAAGCTAATTGCACAAAAATGCTTATGAGACTGCTTATGAACTTACAACTTCATCCTTCATCTTTGTAGACCAACTGCCGTCTTGTGACAGTCATTCTGTTATATCTTTCGTGGTAACGAACATTCTATTGCTTTATTTGTCTATTTGTGTATGTGCTAATTCCAGTGTATTCCGTGATAAAAATTTCTAACCTTTAATAATAACCTAATTATACATCAAATGATGCCTGAATTATTTTATTTTAAGAGCTAATCACAGCTTCATGCTATTATAAATATGGGACGTAACAATATTTTATATATGACTACATATTTTAGATGATAGACTTATGTTGGTTATGAAAATTCTAGGTGTAGTATTTATACATCTTAAGCAACAAATGTACTATTACATGAATATTGTGAGGTCTTTACATGTGTACAATACAAATGTTAACATTTTTCCAGTGTAATTAGTTCTCTTCACTATTTCAAGTCTGCAAAGTATGAAACGAGCAGAGTGTTTTGCACCAAATTTATTTATCTTGCACTCCATACCACTGTTCTCGTTTGTATGGATGAATACCAGTCTGTTTACTTTCCAAAACTATGATTTTTTTTCAGCCGTACATGTTAAGACAAGGAAAACCCATCAAATTAGGCAAAGAAGCACATTACTGCTAAATCTTCACAGCGACGTAAAACAATCTGCACACCAAGCTTCCAGCTAAAGTGGTAATTCTTTTCCTACTCAAGTATGACGAGAAGTTGCAAAAACATAATTGGAAACTGGCGGCATGACGAAAAAATGCGTAATTTCTTCAAATAGATCATGAAGGTGACGTAGTACCGTAAAATGGAAAAGTGTAAACTAAGTAAGAAAGATGATGGAAAGAATGATGCAAAATGAGTTGTCAAGGAAACGTCAAATATGAAGAAAAAATTATAGGGAAGCAGAGCAAGACACTCAAATCAAATATGAAAATAAAAAAGTCTAATGGAAACCCGCATCTGTAAATGACACGCCGACGTCTTGATTGTGATGCGGTTTATAATAACAATATAACAAATATAAATAAAGATGAGCCGCGATTAAAGAAGTGAACATCTCCAATTCGAAAAAATGGATGAACTTCTTTTCGGCGTTTGCTGAACTGTTATTCGACCAGTATTCTGAGTGGTAATCTGTTGTGATGCACGTTCTGTTTTTAATTTTATATCTCGAGCCAAAGTAAAAAACGCCTCCTCAACATTAATATTTGCTTTAGCTGATGTTTCCATGAACTTCGTTCCATATTCGATAGCTAACTAAAAAAGAGGCTTTCTAATAATCATTAGTGTGAGTTATTACATACTCCTTACATACACATCAACTGATCTAAAAAATTAGCAGCTCTGAGAAATACATATCCTTTAATAATGTCTTGACTAATTGCAAAACAGAACTATAATATTTATCCACACATTTTCTTTCAGTTTCTCTAGCAAATGTATAATAGTAGTCGACAATGAATTAACCTGTTTGCCGCGCTCTCTTGATACCTGTCGCCTTTCTTCAACGTCGCATTTATTGCCAATAATCATTCGGTCTACATCAGATGATGCATGCTCTTCAATATTTCGAATCCAATTTTTGATGTTGTCAAATGATTTCTCATTTGTTATATCATAAACTAACATGATTCCCTACAAAATCTTTAATCTTCAAATGAATCATGTGATAAGCAGTTAAATATTTTGTATGGCTTCAGAGTGTTTAAAAAACTTACCATAGCTCCTCGATAATAGGCGGTAGTGATTGTTCTGAAGCGTTCCTGCCCAGCAGTATCCCTAACAAAATATTGCGAACAAATGCAGAATTTTTTTAATGAATAAAATAACTATACTTTCAATTAACAAAGAGCTAATATGATATTAAAAATGGTTTTCTGAAAACGTGAATAAATTTTAGTAAGGAATTACTAAAATATGCTCGCTAAAACACATTTTTAGACCGAATCAATAAATAATGAGTTAAATGCAAACACAAAAGGTACCATATTTGTAGTTTTATTTTTTTTCCCTCCAATTCTATTGTCCGTATTTTGAAATCGATCCCTTAAATAATCATTTTGGAAACCAGACAGTGACTGATTAACTGGTGAAAACAAGGGAAAAATACGAATAAAAAGTACCAATCGTGGAGATGAATGAATTATTGAATGAATCATCTGAAAACCGAAATAACACACATGTTTTCCCGACACCAGAATCACCAATCAAAAGTAGCTGAAAAGCAGGGGATTTATACGTTATAAAGAGCTTGTAACTTGCAACCAACTCAAATTAATTCTCAGTTTATTTTTTTTCTTTTGATCTTAAAATCTTTACGTGCTAATCGATCTGCAAAAGTTTATGCCTTCACATCACAGCTTTCGTTATGGCATTAAATTGAGAGCATATTGAAAAGAAAAAGTTAACAAACACTGAGATCCAAGCATGCACAAAATTAGATTATCATTAACGTTCACACGGCTTTGTACTAGCAAGTAATAAGCATACACAAACCTTGAAAAGATAATCGTATGACTTGGCCATCGGTCCAAAACTTTCTTTTAATTACCTGAAAGTTTATAGCATTACTGTGCTCTACTGACTACACTGTTTTCTTGGTCTTACATATTGTGCACTGCAATACCCAAGCACTGTTAATAAATTAAGCACAAAAATAATTATTCGGGCACATCTCAACAAATTTTAAGAATCATATGAATATTTCTCATCATATTACTAATTGAAAACAAATATAAAACTACTATCTCTAAGTTAATCTTCTAAGTAAAACACAAAAATACTAGACAAAATTTTACAGTACAATAAATTCAAATTTCGATCTCTTTATGAGCAATGCCAATTTCTTGGTGAAATATATTGACAGACCAGATAAGGGAACAGATCATCGTAGCATAGCACTACCGGTTTATACTTCCCTCCTCCTGAAATGGAAGATGAGTTACCTAATTGTCTTTCCTAATACTACGCTGTTATTTCGATTCTATTTTTTTTTCTGTCTTGTCATTTTTTTGTCATTATTTCATATCGGTACAGTTAATTAGTATATGCTCAAGTGCTTAGATGTGTATGAAATGGACTTTTTGAGTGTTGCACATAATCAATTGATTGGAACGATTGGATATCTTTTCAAGTTTTGACAAATTTATGTCAGCAACGAGATGCAAGTGAAGTGAAGTAATGTTATTGCAAATAATTGCAATAGAACCGTTTTAATAATGCGAAGTAACAAGCTAGGTGTGCAGCATACTGCGTGCACAAATGATCCATATTTACTTATTTGACGGTAAAACTCATCAATTCCATGACTTTATATTCGACAGTCCGTTTCATATCTCTGCGACTTCCGTATTTTAAACACTTATTTAAAAAAAAGGCAGCATTGTTTTAAGGAGTTGGAAAAATTTGTGTCAAAATGATCACTTAGGTCGAATTTTGTGTGAGTGTTCGAAGAGTGTTTACGATAAAGCAGTATCGCTAGTGATATGGGAGTTAGTGAGTGCGGTGGTGTGTATGTATGATAAGAGTCAAGGATATAGTATGTTGTGGCTTCAGTTGTAGTATGCATGTTTATATGTGGTATTGTTATAAATGAAGTAGCTGAGAGAAATATCAAGTTAATGTAAACTGAGCACATCTTAGTCTCGTTCATCTTTTGGAAGGTAATAAATCTTCATTGGTTATTTGGTCTATAGCAGATTCATGAAACTGGTCTGTTAATGATCTTTGCAGATGGTCACTTTGCCTCAGCATTATTGCAGTACTTCTGATTTATTTGTATTTCCAGGTACTAACATTCTATAGATGCTCTCCAAGAGGCTACTATTGGTGGCTGCAAAAGTTGGCCGGGTTAGTGCTTTTTTTAATGAAAAGAATGTTGACACATTTCATTCTTTTCAATCTGTGAAGCTTGTTGAGATTGAGCTTGATTTATGGATTGTTCTGTGAAAAGAAAAAGTTTCAGTCTTCATTTAATGGCTTTGGTACGAGTGGTCGATACTGTGCAGCTGGTGCTGAGGTGTTGAAGATTTTGGAGGATCGCATTAGAGGACAAGAATCTACGGTAAATCTGGAAGAAACAGGAAAAGTGCTCTCAATTGGAGATGGTATTGCTCGTGTTTATGGTCTTAAAAACATTCAAGCAGAGGAAATGGTTGAATTTGATTCAGGAATGAAAGTATGAGTCTTCAGTTTTGTGTGGAAAGATTCCCATTAACTTCAAAATGTAGTGCAATAATAATATCTGCTATTGGTTAAAGTTTTTATTCATGATTTTAAATTGTATGTCAAATGTACATAGTCTATATTAATTGATATCAGATTGTTTTATTTCAGTAGAAATTAATGAAGTGGTCATTGATCTTTCTAAAATTTTCTAAAATTGTTACTTGTCTGCATCTGGATGTTTGAAGGGTATGGCATTGAATTTGGAACCAGATAACGTTGGCGTCGTAGTGTTTGGTAACGATAAAATTATTCGAGAAGGTGACATTGTAAAACGGACGGGAGCAATTGTCGATGTTCCTGTCGGAGAGGCCTTGTTAGGACGTGTTGTTGATGCGCTAGGTAATCCGATTGATGGTAAAGGGCCTGTCAAATGTGTGGAGCGATCGAGAGTTGGTGTTAAAGCCCCAGGCATCATCCCACGCATTGGTGTGCGTGAGCCAATGCTTACTGGAATTAAAGCTGTTGATTCTTTGGTACCTATTGGACGTGGACAGCGTGAACTCATCATCGGGGATCGACAAACGGGGTATCTGTTTTATTGTTCCCTCACACTTCTCTCTGAAGTAGTCTATTTTCTACGCCAAGAAGTGCGTACAAAATAGATCACTTCTAATAAGAAGAAACAACTGAATCGAAACCTACAACGCTTTTAAAAATGATTTTCCTTCACGATGTCATGTGATGATTCTCTCTGCTTTGTTTTTTGTTGGTTTTATTGCAGCAGCATACATTTATGAATGAAATGTTCATTACGTGATCGTCTGATAGGGAAATTTCTTCTACCAAACATCGGCACCAAAACTTGATATTTTTGGATAATATTGTACAAAATCAACTTACAGAAAAACAGCGATTGCGATCGATACAATCATAAATCAAAAACGATTTAATGAAGGTATGGAGGAAAAAAAAAAACTATATTGTATATATGTTGCGATTGGACAGAAACGATCAACTGTTGCCCAAATTGTGAAGCGCCTTACTGATACTGGTGCGATTAAGTACACTATCATTGTTTCGGCTACTGCCTCAGGTTATTGCCTTTCCATAAGTTCGGTAACGGTTTTTGCAGTTGGTATTGTACAGTTAAAAAATGTCTATATTTTGCTTAACTTATCTCTAGCTCTCTTTGTAAAGTCGTAATTTTAAATGAATCTAAGTTTCTCAGTTTTCATATTTCCAAGAACCAAATTTTAGATTGCTTTTTTTAGATGCTGCACCCTTGCAGTATTTAGCACCTTATTCTGGTTGTGCGATGGGAGAGTATTTTCGTGATCATGGAAAGCATGCATTGATCATTTACGATGATCTTTCAAAACAGGCTGTTGCTTATCGACAAATGTCACTGTTGCTAAGACGTCCTCCTGGACGAGAAGCCTATCCAGGCGATGTCTTCTATCTTCACTCTCGCCTTTTAGAGCGAGCAGCGAAGGTTCCGTGTCTCTCTAAATTTTTAAAATTGTTATGTTTACCAAATAAATATTGATCTATCATTTTTTCGGATTTCTAATTAAAGTGAAAAACTAAAAACAAGTTGATTCTTACAGTTAATAAATTAGACTTCTGGGAATCAGAAGTAGTCGTGCTCAATACCGTTGGATTTCGAGTCCACACTGCTTTTTCAACCAAATAAAATTTGAATTCCATATTGTTGCTGGCAAGAAGCTTTTAGAAAATTTGAATTCCATATTGTTGCTGGCAAGGAGCTTTTAGAATATGTATTTTTGTGTTTGATATTAAGTCTATAAAATTTGTTAGTTCTCCGTCCTTCGTATTATCAGTATTTAAGGATGCAACAAAAATAGGCACTTTTTAGATGAATGATTCTCATGGCGGTGGCTCTTTAACTGCTTTACCAGTCATTGAAACTCAAGCTGGTGACGTTTCTGCTTACATTCCAACCAACGTGATTTCAATTACGGATGGACAAATATTTTTAGAAACCGAATTATTTTATAAGGGAATACGACCTGCAATCAACGTGGGGTTATCAGTTTCAAGGGTTGGCTCAGCTGCACAGACAAAAGCAATGAAGCAGGTTTGATCTTAAACATTTTTATCGTTCGAATTCACCCATCTGATGTTTTCTTTGTTTCGGTCTAACTTAGTGTTCAGTGAGACAAATTCATCTCAAGGGAGGCATATAGACAGAAAATTGTAATTCTATTGATTAGCAGTTGAAAATGGGAATAGGCTATTTATAATAGAGTTCGATTGTTGATGAATTACTTAAAGTTCGTAAAGACTTGTTTCGGCATAAATTCTTTCTGAAAGATACTTGGTATATACTTTCTTATTAACTCCTTGTTATTGTATTCCCAAAATATATCTTTATTGGTACCCATACCGCGGCTTCGCTTCCTGCATTTGGTACTGTTTTGTGAGTTTCTTCTAGGTTGCTGGTTCAATGAAACTAGAGCTTGCTCAGTATCGTGAAGTAGCCGCGTTTGCTCAGTTTGGTTCTGACCTGGATGCTGCGACGCAGCAGCTTTTGAATCGTGGTGTGAGATTAACGGAACTTCTTAAACAAGGACAGTACGTACCAATGGCTATTGAAGAGCAGGTTAATTTTAAAAAAAGCAGTTTTTGCACATTATAGCTGTGTATTAGGTAGTTTTTTTTTCAGACAATATTTTTAAAGTAGCGGTAAATTAAATTTGTGGAGTAATGGATTTTCGTTTTTAGGTAGCTGTCATTTATGCTGGCGTTAAAGGACATCTCGATAAATTAGATCCCTCTCGTATAACAGTATTTGAGAGAGAATTTTTAATTCACATCCGGCAGTCACAAAAAGAATTACTGAAAACAATTCGTGAGGAAGGGCAGATCACTCCGCAGACTGATGCAAAACTAAAAGATTTAGTAACTTCATTTATAGCTAGTTTTAAGGCATAAATTATAGATAATTTTGTTATGACGTAAGTATGCATGAGAACGCCTGTTTTTTTTTTTTCAGTTTTTTAATGTATGATTTTAAAGCATAACACATAGGAAAAAGTTGTTCGCCTATATCTCATATTGGTTTTTAGGTATAGTTATCTGATTGTTTACCACTTTTTGATTAAAAATTTCATCGTATTGTCTCTTATTAGTTCGCTAATACCGATGAGTGACGTTTTGTGGTGTTACATACCGAGAAGTAAGTAACTGTAGGTAATTTCGTAATTAGAGTAAAATAGTTGTGTCAGCGTGTAATCGAAACATTTCTTGGTAGAAGGAAACAAATGGGAAATATGAATAGAGTTGCTGCAGACAGTATGTTTTAAGGAGTAGGGCTTAATGATGTAATGATGAACTAATGTACAAGTTCATATCATTGGTTACATCTAGCACATATTACTGCTAACTGATGGTAATTAGCAGTAACCTAATCAAGCAAGTAAATCCAAGAAATCTGACTTCGTCAGTCCTGAACACACAGGCCTTGTCGCCAGCTGTACTTTGGGACAATCCACAAGGACTGTTGTGTCTCAACGATCATTTCCGGATCTTTGTTACTTTGATGCATCACGATGAGGAAATCTCTTATGGTCTCATGATGAAAAATATTGTCTAGTGGTCTGAGACGTATCTCAATCCTAAAAGTCGCTCGAATTCGTCTGGTATCAGTCTATATAATTCTGATGTTGTCGAATCCAAGGCACATCAAACATAGAAAAGAGGTCATCCTCTCGCTTCGTGATGTCCATCAGGAGCATTACATTAAACTAAATAAACACCCATAAATAACCTGATTTCCGATACAGAAAATCCTCACACACTACGAATTGACTGGTCACATCCCTTTATTTCCATACCAGGTTTTCCACAGTTCACTTCCATGTCTTACCTTCAGAGACTTATTTTCGTCACTTCCACCACCAGACCACGACACAATCACTACAGTCCAGCCATCTCCAACATGGCCAATTAATACCAAACGCCCGTAGTGCTATATAACTCCAGAATTTCGACAACGACGCCATTGAAGTGGAAACCAAGTCCTAACAACGCAAGATCAACATAAAAATAGCCCACCGTTCCGTTGATGATCAAGTAAACCTAGAAGCCATAGTAGTCTTATAAAATCTAATACTTCCCGAACCAATGCTACAGTTCAACTTCGTGCATCGAGTGATTATGCAAACTCTCAAATCCTCTGACCAATGGTTCCAAAAATTCTCCTGCGATAAACTTCAGATGTCAATCAAGAATAGGAGAATAGTTATACCTCACCTTAGAATTTCCAAGCATACAATAGAACTGTACAGTTCCTGCCACTACAGAGAACAGAACAAATGCAACCGAAACTTCGGCACATTGATGAAGCATGATTTTACGATGACCAATAGTGCATCTATACACTCATCAGTTTTATAATACCCTACTCATGTTCATTCATTCATTATGGAGAATTGAGTAAATCATATTTACAAATACAATTCATCAATAACCAGGTATTATTCAACATTTCACATAAAGTAAAAATCCAGAACATTTCCAAGTTTTCATGGACCACTAATATTTTTTATGGGTAACACCTCAATCACTTATCCACTAATAAACAATCGCTACATAATTAATGAAAAATGTGACAAAATCCACCTCTAACTCAACAACGAATTTTTAGACATGGACTGTACAATAAGTTAATAAAAAGTAATCTTCAAAGACTGCACAAAAGTGCGTAACTGTAAATAGTCCCAAATGAAATGCATAGAAAACAGAAAGAATGCAGAATACAACATTCAGCATTCACAGCAATAATTTCATTAATTAAATTATGAAGAAAACGAAAGAATATATGATCAGCATTGGTATCATCAAACATTGACATTTCGCTGACAATACCTGACCCCATAACTTCATGTCTGGGGACGGAGAAAATCTTAATGACACTGGCAAACTACATATAAACTTAGAGTTTTCTGTTCATTTACGTGCATTCCATAAGTAGGTAAATTTTTTATGGTGGTTTTCAAAAATTTGCATAAACTTAAAATAAACCATATTCAAGCTCACTAGCTTTATATGCTGATGTATCACTGCAAACACAAAATTAATTTGGAAGTACCCCTAGAATAGTGGGAATCGCCAAATTTGACAACAAAGGAACAAAATGAGAATCATGACACAAATGAGCTAATGAAAAAATTACAACTTAAAATGAAGTCATATTAACATCAGCGGAGAAATCATCACTGCCAAATTCTCGTTTTGACGCTGGTCCACCAGCTCCATCACCAGGTCGTTTAGCACCTCGAGATATTGCTGTTCCACGACCGCCCCGACCTCCTGCACCACGACCTCGACCTGCAGAACCACGTGGTTGAAATCCGACACCCTGTAAATAGTATGTGAATAGCTTCGTCAGTCCAAAAATAAAAATTATATTGAAAAACAGTAAGTCGGAAAACAATGTTTTTTTATTCGGAACTCAATTACGAATACCATGTAATTTTTAAACAAATATTTTAAAAATATCAAATTCATAGCTCCTTATTTGTCCTCGCCTTTATTAAACATCTGAAATCTAGACACGTTAATATAAATTATCAACTTTGCCTAATTGCATTTTAAAGCATACTGGTATGCCACCTCGACCTCCTCGATTACCCACAGGAGGAGCACTATATCCATAGCCATAAGGATCAGGGCCATAACCATATGCATCATAACTATATCCGTAGGCACTTGGAGGCGCCCCATACCCATACAGCTCTTCATAACCAGCTGAAAACTACTCTATACATTGGCATTTGATATCCCTCTCTATACTGTTACGTAAGAAAAAAGCCACAGTCAACAATTGGTCACAAGAGTTAAGAATATACGAGATTACCATAAGGATCATAACTACCATAGCCAAAATCAGCGGGTCCGCCAAAACCACCACGTCCAAAGTTTGGCGCACCACGTGCACCCCGTGCACCTCGATTGAAGCTAAAATCACCAAATGCTCCACGGAGACCACCAAACCCCCGACCACGTCCACGCAACATTTTTTTCTTGTCGCTCTGTGGTTTTGCAAGCGAAATATCGATGGCAATTCCTTCTAATTCTGTACCATTTAGTGCTTCCATCGCCTAAAAGTTCTAAAATTAACTGCAGCTACCAAAAACCAATAAACTAGTTCTACAAAAATAGAGAAGTCCTGCAAACTCCAATTACCTTAATAGCGGGTTCTCTTTCCATGAAATGAATGAAGGCGTAATCACGAATCTTTTTTGCTCTATCTACTTCCCCATATGCTGAAAACATTTCTTTCAATTGTTCTTCAGTAACGGCTTCTTTCAAATTTCGTACGTATAATACTTTGACTTTTGCCATAGTCTCTTCATCAGGCTCTTCCTGCTGTTCCGCCCAGTCAACTACCAAATCCGAATTCCAAGGTCGCAACTAGAAATATGAAAAAATTATATATGTATATATATAATGATACATATCATGCTATGTTACTCCATAAATCGCGCTTAATATCTAAATTTTCAATTTTAGAATCAATTTAAAGATATACTTTTCCAGCATGGATCTTCCGCTTAGCGTCTGATGCCGTCTTGTGATCAGAGAAATCAAGGAAACAAAAACCACGATTTTTGCGGCTTTCCCCTGCATCTGGGCTTGAATATATTATGCAGTCCGTCACACCTTCTGAAACTTGTAAACTGGAATAAGGCATAAATAAAATCTCCTACGAAAAAGCGTTGCGATCAGGAACAAATCACTAACCTGAATACCAAGTACACTGGAATAAGACAAACTTACCAAATGATTAATTACAATGCTCTTAAAGATGACCAGTATAATCGAAAATAATGGACCCAGATGAAATCCAAAGGTACTAGTCAAGGCACAGAAGCAAAATGACCACCTCAAAAACAAAAGCCTTCCCCATGAAACACCACTTCAAAAAGTTGTTTGAGCGAAATTTGGAACCATTTTTTGGGCCAAAATTTACCTGTGTGTTCTTTAAATTCCGCAAGAATTTCCTCTTTTGACTTCGATTTTGGAATATTCCCAATAAACAATCGTGTGTTGGCAACGCTCACGTTCACTTTCAGATTTTTTCCGGGCATTATTTCGTAACCATCAAACTAGAAACAGAGAACAGAAGAAATGTAGCTGTATCTTGGCCAAATTTTTCACTTTTTAATGTTGTCTCTAAAAATTCAGTATTATTTTCAAAAGATCAAAAGGCTAATTTCCAAAATAAGCTTTTCAAAAGCATCCCACTAAAAAGGCTTCAAGGGAAAAGGTTTAGTTTCAACAGTATGATACAAATATAGGTGGAGAGAGAGAGAGGTGAATAACTGACGATAGATGAAAGAAGTCATGATGGGCCAATCAACACAATTCTATAGAAGACGAGCAAAAATTAAATCATGCCGACTTAGTACGAAATCTGTGACGCTTACAAAAACTTCATGATTCCTCCTTAAAATTGATGTCTATTCGCCTATTAAAGTAAGGATCATATAACCACTTTCTTACTAACAATCTGATTAGGAGATCATATTTGTATGAGTCGATATCAACTATCAGAGCTCATTAGCAACAAAGATGAATAAAAATGTACCCTTTTCTTTTCACTGCCTAAACTAAATATTATTTCAGTGGAATAAGTAAAAATGAGAAAAATCATGTGCTAAAGAAGTTCGAATCTGATAAAAAACTTACTATATCTGCACATTATGAGCAAAAATACAACTTTATCACTAACTTTAAAAAATGATCTTTAGTTATATACAGTCCTCCAAATTTGCAGAAAATTCAACTCATGTTACACTAGGAATTTTCTTTTTATTCACTGCAATACTAATTTCTGTGAAAGTGCTACAGTTGATCCAAGTATACCTTGCTCAAATTAGTACTTAAATTGCAATGAGTCCATAAACATAGCAGTATCCAAAAGGATAAAAGTGAGGATGAAATCCTGGTAATAACAAGGAAAAATTGAGAATAGTTGAAATATTTTTCCGTGATGCATGGAACTCTCTCGCGAAGAAATCGCAGCCTCATGTGACAAATACACAATCTAATATCAATAAGTCAAAGTAGCCCTACAGCTCTACACCTGCACACACAAAATGCTCGCAAAAAAAAGAGGATTTAATAACGCAGAGCGTTGGCTGCTGCTGCGACTAATTTTAAAGACTTCTTCAATAATGATAAAGAAATAAAACGAACAAGAACGATCTACAAGAACTACCACGATTTACTTTTGATGCCCAACAATTACTTATAATTCTAAGATCATGTCTTTCTTAGATTTTAAAACTCCTGATAAGGACGCCGCAGCAGCCAACCAAAAGTTTTTCGAAGTGGCATTACCTTCTTGGCAGCTTCATAAGCCGACGCTTTGTCACAATATGTTAAAAACGCGTAGCCACGGTTCCTTCCAGTTAGAGGATCCATCATGAGTCGAAGATCCCAAATTTTGCCCATATCCTCGAAAAGCGATATCAGAGTGTCTTCATAAACTTCTTTTGGAATTTTTCCAATATAAATCTGAAATTAGATTGCAAATGACCAACAACTACAACAGAATCCATCTTGCATAAAAGGTTCGTCCTCCAGTTTCCCAGTGAAATCCAAAAACTGTTTTTCAAAAAACCTCATGTCCCGATCCTTGCGGACCGGCTGATGGTCCATCCCAATTCGGTGGAGGTCCTCCATATTTTCTTTGACCAATAGTAACTTCCAAACTGTATCCTGTTCGATCCAAAATTTCTTTTATTTTCTCCACTGATGGCCCATTGACTAGCTTCTGTGAAAGTGCGACAGTTGCTCCAAGTTGCCGCACTTTGTCCCGGAAATTACGCATCACTGACATCAAGAATTGTGCCTTGTTTTGAACGCCCATAAGTCTTGATTCTTTTACCTGAAATAAATAATACAAAAAACAGACCTTTACAAAAAGTGAGTTAACAGCTACTTTTCTTTTAAAATTAAATACACAGATTTATTCATAAATTTTACAAATAATGTCGAGATCAAGGCTTTTCAAACCTCCTTAATGATGAACAATGCGTGTTCAATTGGTAACGACCGTAACATTTCAATAGCTCGGTCATCAAGATCTTGCGGAGACATATCTGTTGCTTCGTATAATTCAATTAAAGCTACAGCCACTTTCGGTTTGACATTTTGGGCTCGTAAACTTTTATATACTTCATTTTCCACAAAGTCTGTTTCTTCAATTTCAATAGCCAAAGAGTGACTTTCATCGGTTTCTACCTTAAATACATCTACTGCATAAAATAAATTATAATAAACGTTTCACTTCATCTTCTTCATTGCTTCCAAATTCAATACTAATCGAATTAATTTGCTGCTGAAAAAACATGAAATAAAAACTTACAACTGCATCACCAGTTGCTCCAATACCACAATTCGTTTCCATTTTACCTTCAGATTCCTCTTTCTCTGTTTCCTCACCATTTGCCGTTGATGCCTCCTCCACCTGATCTTGACTTTCTTCTGTTAGAGACTCTTGCTGCATATCAGCTTCCTCATCTAGCGTTTCCTGAATCATATAACAATTTTTATCAACCCCATGAAGATCTGTGAAAATAATAATAATTCATAAACTCAATAAATTCCTAAATTAGGTATTTAAAAATTAATGTGGCCTTACTTCTGCTGATGTTTCCATTTTCATATCTGCCATAGTATTTTCTTCGCTTGTTTTATCTTCTTCCTAAAAAAATCACTTGTTGCGAACAAAAATATTAACAAAATTTCAACGTAATCGCAGTTGAAACTGAAGTTAATTCACTACAATTGTCAATAAAGCACATCCTACTTACTGCATTTTCAGAATGAAAAGGAAAGTTTTACTACACAAAATGTACAGCTAGGAAAACTGTAACTGTAAGATTTAACAAGATATCATGGTTCTTTACCATGCTCTTCAGTTCAAACAACTTAATTTAAAAAATAAAGATGGTTAAACCTCAAATTTATAACCCCTACTTTTTTTTTCATCTTTCTAATCCCATTCCCATTAACATCTACTAATAAAAGGTCCTGTTTTGTTGCAAGTATAGTAACTTAGATTTATAAGCCATTCATTCTAATACCTCACGAGGCGATAACTCTTTACAGCCGTAAACGATTGCCAATTAAAAATTGAAGTTAACAACATAAAAGCACAGATATGACGAATCATAATGTTAGAAAATAAATCCGAAATCTAGTAAATTACTTAAAACCTAACAGATTACAGAGTTCAAAAAATTTGTTCACCTCAGAAAGTGTTTCTACAATGATTTATTTCACAGAGAGAAGGGATAGTTATACAAATCAAAGTGCACAGAAATGTAGCAAAAATGATAGCTTCTCTGAATTTAACAGCTTATGAATAAGCATACTACAAACAGATCGACATACCTATTCTGGTTATATCATCAAGTGCTGAGAGTTTTGTTATATACTCCATTACACACGGTACGTCGCATCTACCTCCTACATACTACTGCTTTTCAGTTTAAAAAAAATCAAGTATGAACACATAACTGTACAACACTCAGCTACATAAGTGCATAAAGTACATTGAAAAGATCATAAGCAACTAATAAGCAAACAGTACCACTAAAAATTAGCGAAATTCTCACAAAACAAAAAATATAATTTCTAATACGTTGTTTGAAGAGCTTTCAAACAAAAACTAAAGGTTAAAAGAAAGCCAAAAACTCGAACTTGTTCATTAACGGCAGTAACCGAATCGTCAGCAGCACTCTCTTCCTGTTCCTCCTGACCTTCTATTGCTGAAACGGCGATTTCTTCACATTCATCAGCTGATTGCGCACAAGCAACCGCCTGCTGCTTACGAGGACGACCACGCGCACCACGTTTTTTCATTCCCAGCGGACTGCAGCTTACGTTTTAGAAAGCAACACACGAAACAAGTAGTAGTAATAACGCAAAGCAAGTTTTAGAAGGGTTAGGATAGTTCTTAAAGGATTTTGTCAAGTAAATAGGTCAAAGCAACGTGCGTTACGCACATTTGTGCATGCGCGGTCTTGAAAGAGAAACGAACGAACCATTTTATGGTATACAGTATGCTACGCAATGCTGTATAACCAATATGAAGACTATCAATAGATAATAAAAATCAACACAAATTACGATAAAATGCTATGCGAAAATAGATGGGAAAAATTTTATATACTGTGTTCAGAAATTAACCGCTGTGAGAGAATCTCCACAATACGTGACTTCCGAAATAAAAATGCTAACACGAACTAACTGCTCAACTATTTCCCTCACCCTTATGCGCGAACGAGAAAAAAGAAATCAATGAGTCAGTGGGTACGCGACGCGTAGAATCACTAACAAAGATGAAAAGGAAGTATCGTTGTGTTACTAAAGCCGGGTTGGTATGCAAATTAGTGTCTTACATTGCACTTCATCATGCCTAATAAACTTGTTACTGTAGCGTGAATAGAAAGGTAATACGTGTTTTGGCAGTGTGAATAGTATTTTATTGACAGCATCTATACTTCTGTCATTTATATAGTAGATGAAATATCAAACTTGTATATCTACTAAGCGGGGAGCGAAAATATGCTTACTGTGTAATAGCATAAATTTGGTGTGATAACGACGCAAATAGCTTGGTAACCGCTATTTGCTTCGTTTTCAACCTAATTTTTTCATATACAAGGAAAACATTCAAAAGTTCTGCACACTTGATTCAGGATTCGGAGGTCATTCTCTGACCTCTAAGGGTCATCAAGCACTGACTTGAAAGAGAAGGGGATATTTGGAAGTCCTTTGATCTCTGCAAAGTGTCAGTAATTAGAGTCCAACGTATGCGGACATTTTGCAGCAGCCAATAAAAAAAATTACTATAAATGGAAACGCGTGACCTTTAGCTAACCTCTGATTCCATCCCTATACAGCAATGTCTTCCTTTCACATGTAGCCTTTATCTTTATTCATTCCTGGTTATTTCAAATATGCAGTCAGTAATCACATTCTTATCATAAAATCTTGTTTTTATAAATAAATGGTACACTTTTTACGAACTGCTGTAAATTGGAAAAATCCTGTTCCCAGTAATGCAATCTGATTTTTCTTGACAGTCATTACAAGTGCATTTTCAGGCTTGTTCTCGTCTGTTCACTCCACAATTATTTTAGAACGTATTCATTTTACATTTTGCGTTTAGTAGTTTGTTCAGACGTAACCTACCATCTGGGCGGATAACTACATGTAATTATTTTTATTAGGAACTCATTCTATTACTCTTAAGGAGGTTCTTAAAGTTGTTGGCAAACTCGTATACCTAATACTGTCATCTGTGCACATCTTAAATTAGACTTCCTGCCCATAATCAGATATTCTTCTGTTATACTTTTCTGCCTTGAAATTTACGAATCTGAGCAAAAAACTTTGTACAGATTGAGATGGCAAGCAGTGTTTGAGATTATAATTTATGAACTTGTCAAACATTGAGTTAGTTAATTGGAATGGATCATTCAATGGTACCAGAATTTCCAAGGCTTAATTGAGTGAGAAGGCAACAAGAAATTTAGTATTATCCACATCAACAATATCTTTCCGATATACTTTAGTTGGATTAAGAAATAAACAACAAGAAATTTAGTATTATCCACATCAACAATATCTTTCAGATATACTTTAGTTGGATTAAGAAATAAAGTGAAGTTTGCGCAGATTTTAGTAATGTAATATTTATGAATTAGTGAGATTACTTATAATAATAGGTCAGAGTTAAAAATTGATGATGGTTTGGCTGATGATACTTGAAGGTAAAGGATCACCTAATCTAATCTTGCTGTGCAAAGATAGTATAATGGATTAGAACTTGCTGTGCAAGTTCAGTCGTAAGTGTGAGTGCGCTCTTCTGAATGGCATCGAATCTAGCACTCTAAGAATTACATTTATCAAACTTTTTTAGATTGCTTCAACAAAATGCTCTTAGTCAACAGAAATTGAGTAGGTGTTTGTGAAAAAGAATGTAATCAGTTGATAACTGAAAATTGAAAGATAAAAAGAGAGCAGATATCTGTGGCAAGTAGTAATTAGATTTGCTAAATTAATCACAGCACAAACAAGAGATTTAAGCGCAAATATTTTACTTCAAGTACGAGATCGATTTGCATTTCAATTTTAAAGAAACCTCAATAATTTGTTTCCGATCTTCAATTCAGATTTGCTTGAACTTGAGCAAATTGAAAGCAGCTAGTACTTGCTTGTAACATGTTATTCTTTAATCCACTTATGTGCACCTCATCTCATCTCAAAAAGCAGTAATTGTTCAACTTTTGTTCAGATATTAAAACTGATTGATAACCTCACAAAAAAGAGTCCAGAAACTCGATATACAGAAATTCAATTACACTTGACTAAAAAAGGACAAAGACACTTAAATTTCATTTCGTAGATTTCTCGCATTTCTTCATCATATATATATTCATCTAATGCGCTAATCTTACTGTGGTTCAACCAAATTTACTTTGCTTCAACCAAATTTACTTTATTAGTATTTGCAAGCGCAAATCCTCGCTAGGAACATTTACTATGTGAGCAGAGTGAAAAACAGTAGAATTCTTACAAAGGAATTAAGGTGTCGTTGGTATCACTTTTGCACGATAACTATAAGCAGTCATAATGGCAGTTCAGAATTGCATGATTTGCTCACCTCAAGAAACGGTTCTCATACTCAAGCTTTATCTTTTCTGTATGAAAAATATAACTTGCATGTTGTATGTGAATGTTATGGAGAATAATGTTGTCTTCATCGTAAATCTTAAATGGCAAGCGAAAATGTAGAAATTCTGTAAAAATATTAGAATTGATTTGCAGTTAATTCGTAAGCTGTTTTCTACTTCTTACTTATACAAAATAGCCAGTGCAAGATTACTACAGAGAGCAATCACTTCACGAAAATCTGTACATAATTCATGTACATCATTATCGGAATCCTGCTCTCAGAACAAATAATAACTGATGCAGATTAACAAATATATATCAGTGGTTTAATTCTATAGTTAATGCTGACAATGAACATTTTTATCGCAATGAATGATTGAATGATTCATTCACTTAAATTTTGCACTAAAAGATTATTTAAATTCGATGGTACAGGAATGAAATGTTGAAAGTGATTTAATTCGAGGTCATAGGCTAAAAGAAATTGTTTATTGCAGGAAGCTTTTGAAATTGAAAGAGATTAAAACGTAGATAAAGTTAATGGAGGTCAACTCAGTATAGATTTTGGGGTAGCCAATTAGTAGTTAGTGATCAAGCAGCAAAACAACAACTTGATGAAGCTTTTGAAGTCATAGCAAACATTGAAATTAAGGCTTATGTTGTTTTGGCCATTCAAATTAATCCTGAAAGCTAGGAGTATGTTTGGTTTCGAGCCAAGTAGCCTTTGGCCACAAGATTACTAACTGTAACAATGTTTATATTTCCAGAAATAATTCAAGCAAAATGCATCTTATGTTATTTTCCTTCCTTTTCTATTAC